TATAATATATACATATATAATTTATTTTGGTAGCTTTTCTTGATAAATCACATCTCATCCAATATAAAAATGTTAGTGCAGCCCAACAGTTCGAAGAACAAGCAAGAGTTCGACTTGTAGACACACAAAACTTATAAATGTAAGAGGATATTGGTATGTAAGATATGATATACCTATAAGGTGTGCGAAATAAACTACTGGGACAAACACTTAGCACATTATATTCTCCACAAAAAACTATTTTTTGTTATCCATTTTCTTGTTATCTTTCGATTGTATGGTATGGTTGAACGTTGAGCAAAAGTTTTTCCGATGTTTATTTTTAGAAGCTTAAGTTGAGTTTTGAACCAAAGAAAGTTGCTGAAGCAAATTACTTTGCTTATATTTGTGGTTAGATAACCACGTGCTATTTGAACTTTTAATAAGGAATTGTGTTTAAACTGTTAAATCAAATAAAAATAAAAATAAGTGAATTTTAACTAAATCTAATATCACTAATAACACTTCTAGTTGATTTGTTGTTTAAAGAAATGTCGAATTTCGTCCGTTTGATTGATGAAGAATTGGCGGAATTGCAGAACTGCATGATGTGGAGATGTTCTTTAGCATTCATTGCTGAACATATTGACAGAAATAATACTGTAGAAAGTTTTCTCAAAGACCCAGAAAATCATGAAAAAAAAGCCCCGCTCAGGTCATTGGGGGCGAAGGTATAAAAAACATATGTAAAATACAAAATCTATGTATTCATCAAATGTATATACACGGTAAATATGAAGTCTATAGGTATAAAAGTGTTCAAATTAGGCTGAAAAATAAAGCGATTTATCGATTATTTTCGATAAAAAGAAATCGGATGAACTGCGTATGTTATACACGAGTATGCATGCCAAATTCCAGGTCTCTAGCTCTTATATATTCTGAAATCGGCTTACTCATACGGACGGACGGACGGCTATATCGACTCAGGTCGTAGTCCTGATCAATAATACATATACTTTGTGGGGTCTGCGATGATTCCTTCTGCCTTTTAGATACTTTCCACAAAACCATTATACCCTGATTTCCCATATTCAATGAGTTCAGGGTATAAAAAGGCCATTATTAAAGGTAAAAAATTTGACATCCAAATGCTCTAAACCCCCATTAATTGAATGCCAACACGACTTTTGAAAAATTTGAACATCAAAGGGAACACTATTTTAAGTAATATATAGTTAAATCAAAATTTTATTGATCTTTCTTGATTTTTTAATGTTTTAAGATACGAAGTATGAATTTGCCCCAGTGACTTATTCCGTGTGAAAATATTTTTTTAAATTTTTATTAAACTTTTGTGAATTTGCTGTTGATTTTTCATGAATTAATTGATAATTTTATCAAATTAATCAGCAATTTTTTTTTTTTCAAATAAATTGATCGATTTAGTTTTTATAGTGAAAAAATTAGTGTCCCAGTTATTTCGCATACCTTACAGTAATTCACAGGTTATTTTAACCAGCACTTAAAAGAAATTTTGCAGCTGCAACATTTAAGCTAATATGTAAGTTGTGTGTAATTTTTTAATTTATAAGGAACAAGCTAACTTATTCTTCAAATATTTATTTTAGCCATTTCCTTTGCTGCTGAGCAAAGATCCATTAAGGAAAATTTAAATTCTATAAAATACACATGAATCTTTGTATATTTAAGATTTGAATACATTAATTCTAAAGATGTAGGAGACAAAATTTGTAAACTAATTTTCGGAAAGGCAATTGGTTATTGGAAAAAAACTCGATCTGTGCGGGCAATATACGGCGTTAAAAGTCTCTGTGTTATATCTGGAATCGACTCGTTCACACATACGGACAGGCCTAAATCGACTCAGATCAAAATTTTTCCCAGGTCGGCACAACTGTTAGCCACTATTCTGTGAATTTTTAATGCTATATGTCATTTAGTTTGGTTACGGCGTCATTAGGAACAAGTCAACCTTTTGTGTGCGTTGCGATTTTTACTATGGATAAAAATATCGAATAAGGAGTTTGTGTGAAATTTTGTGTTTCAAACAAAATTGCTTATGCCAAAACGTTGGAAAAATTTGAAAAAAAAAAACATTTGGTGATACAACCATGTCAAAAAGAGGGGCGAGAAGAAGTGAACGATTTACAACGCTCAGGACGACCTTTGACCTCTTCAACTGAAGAATTCGTGGTGTAACCACGACGCCCAAGCCGTCAATAAAGAATATTATCCTGGCGTTATGAGGCGTTTGAGAGAGAATGTTTCTTGGTAAAGTCCAGATTTGTGACGGAACAACAGATGGATTTTGCACCACGGTAATGCACCAGCGAACAAAGCGATCATCGTGAACGAGTTTTTGAACAAAAATTCAACAAATATCATCGAACAACCACCGTACTCTCCAGATATGGCCCCGTGTGACTTTTTCCTGTTTCCAAAACAAAAATTACCACATCATGGATCCCGTTTTGAGAGCATTGAAGACATAAAAACTAATTCGCAACGAGAACTGAAGGCCATCCCGGAATATAGCTTTAAAAAGTGTTTCGATGATTGGATTTTTCATTTGAAGAAGTGTATTGCCTAAGAAAAGGCCTATTTTGAAGGGGATATAATAAATTTAGATGATTGATAAGTTGTTTGTGTTTTATTTGAAATTTCTGGGTACTTATTTGACAGAATTTAGATGTATATACGTTGTGGGGTCTGTCGCCTTCTTCTGCTACATAAATTTTCACAAAAACATTATACATAAACCAAAAAAACACAAAATTTGACGTTACTTCAATATTCGGTTAACTGACCAAATTCGAGTTCTATTAAAAACGGTTCACATTTAACATCTGGTATGATATCCATTATATTTTAGAGTGTCCCATAGATGTTTTTGTATAGTGGTTATAGTTTTTGTCGAGTCCTTGGAGCCGATTTTGGCCCACTCTTTCTGTAGTCATGTCTTTAGGTAAGATATTGAAGATATCGATGTTTTGAGACCTCGGCAGTCTACCTGGCTTCAACATTTTTTTTATAGAGGTCTGGTCAGGAATCTGGGAAGGTGTTTCCAAAAGTTTTGGGTAACTTCACAGTAACCAGGAATCGATTTTGTGGGCTTAGGGCCATTGCCGAATATTTAAGTAACGGTTTATGTATGATTTTTGTTAGTTACACTAAATCCACTATATTGATACATACGTCATCGGAAAGGTAATTTTTTAATATAAAATTTTCACTTTTTTAATTTCATGCTTAATGGGCGTTTGAAGTTGAAAAATAAAAAAACCTAATATTAATATGTTATTCACTGTATATAGGAGATATAGTGTGTAATGTATATACATATATCGAAAATTAGCTTTAAAAGTATATCTCCTAAATCTTTAGAGCTGGAGTCCTCAAATTTGTTATATTATAGATTCATGTCTATTTTATAAAATTTCTTTTTTGTTATTATACCATACCTTACCTTTTGTATTTATTTTTAAACAGAATTAACCATATTCATATGTATTACCTGTGAAGCGACTGGTATCTCAGAGCAGCATATTTTTTTAATAACACTATATCTGTCATCTCTGCTAGTAGGACATATACATACGACTATTTGAGTTTTAGTACAAATGTTCCGACGTAAAGCATCGACATATGCGTCTATTCGATCATGTTCTAAAATAATGACATTCGGCTTACATATGTTCATTCCGAAGACATCACTGCAATTTTTCATATTATGTAAAAATGATTTAGCAGCTTTTAAATCATTTTTGTGATAAATCAGGACCCAACTGTTTAAATTTATAACTTCCAGCAATTCGTTTCTTACGGCATCTTTGGAAAATTCTGCATTATGTCCGGCTGCAATACTATGTTTTCCGAAATAAATTTGTACGGAATCTATTTTCCGACCGACTATATTATGATAGTTTTTATGTAGTGACAATCCCCAGTTTTCAAGGATTTCTCGAGCCTCATCATTTTCTGTGACATTTTTAAAGTATTTATCCAGCGCTAGCATACGATTATTCGGTGTTACATTGGTGACAGTTGCAATCTCACGCATTAGTTTTTTGTCGGCCCGAATTTCATCGTGGAGTCCGGTAAGATAACAAAGTTCCGGAATCAAGCAAAATCGTACGTTTCCTTTATTCGAGGTGTCATTTTTTCTTGACTGCTTTAAACTAATGAGTAATGGCTGTTTGCCATCTTTAATTGTTATATTATGGTTATTTTTGTAGTAGTCAATATAACTGCAAAATCCAGTTCTTGTTTCAAATTCTGAATGCGGATTTTGAGAAAAGCATATATCGTCAATTCTGTACGTCCGATTATTATAACGTGTTATTATTACACTTCCAATTAAGTACTTTTTTGCTTTGTCTTGATAGTTGGCTTTGCAGTGTTGATAGATCTCTATTAGCATATCCAATACCGTTTTTTGACAAAGCAAACGATGGGATACATCGCAGCAAAGCATTAAACCACCGTCGTATTCATCGACAGCAGTTACGTAACCTGGCCAAACTTCGAGCTTGGCTGTTGGAATCACTTTCGGACGGGAGGGATCGAATTGTTTTCTATCGAATTTAACATAATTTAGGGTTTTCATGATTCGATCAAATAATATATTGTATAATTGTATACAATTTTTAAGGGACTCTCTTTTCTTAAATAAAATTCTAATTTCGATATCTTCGTTGGAACGACCTTTTGAAATAAAAGTTGTCAATTCCTTTTCTAACATAATCGGCAAGTATAGGGTTGTTCCATCAAAGGTTTTAATGCCTCCGAATTGTTTACTGTGTTCATTCAAGTACTTCATTCTTAGATAAATTGAATCAACAGAAGGATTGAATCGTACTTCATAAAGATAGACTCCCTTCTTCGGATCAGACTTTAGACCTATATAATTACATGACAGATTAACCAGAGAACCTGTGGAAGAAAAAAAAAATAATTAGTCATCTTCAGTATAGTTCCAAAACAAAACAAGTAAGGGTGCTTTAGTCGAGATTGCTTGAAGAGGAAATACCCTGAACCCTCCAAGCTGATATTCTAATCATTGTGCACACACACATGACTCCACATGTACGTATAATCACGCACTCTGCTAACTGTGTAGCAAGCAGCGACTGCGCATGGGCTGCGCTGCAGTATGGGCAATATTATGAGAATTCATTTTCATCTTAATGAATGGTTAAAATGTGTGTACATTCTAAAGCACAAGTCTCTAGTACTTCAAATGCGTTTTTTACAAATTGGTGGAGAAGGGGGCGTGGTATCCAAAATATGTAAATTACAAAATCTTCATATCCATCATCCATATACACAGTAAATCTGAAGTCTACAAAATCATTTCTTCGATTATTCTCGATAAAATTTTATCGGATGAGTTATTGAAAAATATGTCAAACTTGTACTGCGTACATTCCAAATTGCAGCTCTCTAGCTTTTATAACCTCTGAAATCTAGGAGTTCATAAGGTCAGACGGAAGGACATAGCTATATCGACTCAGCTCATCGACCTGATCAAGAATACATATACTTTATGGGGTCTGCTACGCTTCCTTCTGCCTGTTACATACATTTTAACAAAACCATAATACCCTGATTTCCCATTTTCAATTGGTTCATCATTCTCTCCTGGTGCCGATAACATTCCTAGTTGTGTGATTAAAGAGTGCAGTGATTCTTCTTCTTCAGTCACAATTATTAAAATTGTTTAACTTGTCTTTAGATACTTCCGTATTCCCTAAAATTTGGAAAGAATCTTTCATCATTCCCCTATATAAAAAAGGTGGAAGATCTGATATTTC